TCTTCATTCCTCCCTCTCTTCAACTAAGTTTCACATTTCAACTCAGTGTGTATCTGTAGATGTCTGTCTCTGCTTCCATCAGCCACTGAATGAGGGCTCTAGGATGGCATAAAGAGTAGTCATCAATCTCATTTTAGGTGAAGGGCTTTTAGGTTATCCTCTCCACCATTGCCTGGATTGTCAGATCATGTCATCCTTGTAGGTGAGAGTTTGCATTTCTAAGTACCCAAATGACATATATAATGCTGGTCCAGAGACTACACATTGAAAAATACTGATCTTCAAACTAAAATTTTCCTGTGTTGGTTCCTATTTCCCACTAAACTGCTCTTTTTCTTGCCTCTTCCCCAAACCCTTTTTATCTGTTGAAATATTTCCTTCATTAAAAACCACTCAAGTCTGTTTCTTCTATAAATTTTTTTACTTATGCCCTCACTTAACGATGCTATGCTTTTATTTTGTACTTTTGAGGCCAGGTCCACCTTGAATTCAAAGAGATACTCCTGTGCCTTTGAGCCCCACTGCTGGAATTAAAGATGTTTGCCACCTCACCCAGCAGCAATAGGATCTTAAGGAAGGATTTCTTTTATTCCTTTTACGTTTATCCCCTAGTAAGTTGTATATGCTCCATTGGAAGACCATACATCCAAATATGGAGTCTTGAAGAGTTTTGTTTTGTCTTTAAAAGGACACAAAGTTGGATGGGGAAATGGGTTTTGGAAGTATTGGCATGTATTTGTGATCAAAGTACATTGTAAGAAATCTCAAAGAACTAATGCAAAGGTTAGGAAATACAGTTTTTTTTTTTTTTTAGGAAATACAGTTTTTAATAAAAGAATGAATCCCAAAATGAAGATAATTAAAGGATGATTAGCAAACATTTTTAAATATATGGAAGGCTTTAAATAGATGCTAATAAATTTTTCCATTCAGATTGTTGGACATTTGTAGGTTGTTTTTTTAAAAAAAAATCAGTGTCACAGAATAAACTCCATCACAAGAACATTTGTCCTGTGACAAATATTCTTACTTATAAATGTTTTTAAATAGCATAATTTCTTTTTCAATTATAAAATAAAATGTGACTACATCAAAAATGCAATTAGTGAGATAGCAGAATTGTAATTCTTATAGTAATTAAAATATACTCCGTACATGTATGAACAATTTTAAAGAAAACTTTTAAAAGAAAAAAATAACTCAGGCCTTCCATTCTTGGCTCAATTTTTCTAGTGCCTTCTATTTTTAAATATTGTTTCTAGCCAGCTGATTTATACATGGAATTGAAGTTGACCGAGGAAAACAGGGACCATGAATTTGAAGAAGAGTGGGGAGGGGGGTATGGAGAAAAGACTAGAGGGAAGGGAAGGAAGGGAGAAGTATTATCATTAAACTATAATACCAAAAATAAATATTTTTAAAAAGAAATTGACAAGGATATCTCAAAGACCTTTCTATATTAAAACACCTGTAACTGTCAATGATTCTTTTTATAAGTAAGCTCTTTTGCCTTTTCCCTCACAACAATTCATTTTTATAAATCCCTGATTTGCTTTAATTTCTACATTGTTGAAAGTTAAAACACAAACCTAACCTTCACTCAACTCTTGAATGCTTTCTAATTTAGACTTTTGAACATCACTATTACTACATTAGATATATTAAGGTTCTATGTCCTTGAACCCTTACAATTTCTAAAACCTAAAATTAAACAAAAACTCCATTGTATAAGGTTCAGCTTACTTTAAAACAGCTAGTTTATTCTGATTCCATTTTCATTCCATTTTTCTAATCCACTGTATTAACCACAATTATTAAAACATCAGTCAGAATATCCAATTTATATAAAACTTGGTGTTTTCTTACTGTAGCATTTTATTCCTATAATAGATGTTCTCGGGTAAAACAGTATGATTGGCCTTCATTGACTATTTGTTGGAATTCATTATTCAATGAATTTTCTCTTTGTTTTCAGACCAGTGTGTGGAATAAGGGGGAAGACTCTGATAATCAACCTGCCTGGTAGCAAGAAAGGATCTCAGGTAATTATTCTTTATATGATTCAATAAATGCAATTTTAACCAACTATGAGAATAGACAATCCACAAGCTGAACACACCAAAGTTCCTCACTGCTGACACTAATCTGAAGTTCAAGAGATTCCCAAAAAGTACTCTCAAATTCCGTAATTCATTAGGAAGAATCAGAGAATTCACTCTTACTTTATGTATTTACAATTATTGTTTTAGAAGGAAAAAATATGGATTAAGGTGAGCCAAGAGATACACATCAGAGTCCAGTAGACATACCAGACGCAGAGCTTCCATTGTCCTGTTACTGTGTCCTCATGAATTTGCTACTCTCCTGGCATTGTGACAATCTACTTGGAACATTGCCAATCAGAGAATCTCATTTGAGCTGCTATGTTTGTTGTGTTTCTGTTTGTTTGTTCATTCTAGCTCATCATACCATGTCCAAATGGCTTTAGTTCTTACCCCTTTAATCTCCAGTATCTTTCAGAGGCAAAGCAATACCAAAGTAGGTCCAAGCCTGCATTGTAATTCACATTGTTAGGCGATCTGGTTGCCAAAGCCCTCTGACAAACAAGAACACTCTCAGTCATGGCAGTCTAGTGTCCTAGAAGTCCCCCTTCTAGTAGCTAAAGGCAAGTCTATACTCTTCCTGTGTGGTAATTAATTCTGCACTACATATGGTATGGTATGTACCAAACAATTAACATTACTCAAAGAATTATGTTCGCTTTAACTTATATCCATACACAGCAATATCACCAGTGAGAATATCCCTCATTTGCAAGCAGCAGCATGAAATATGGTTAGATTTAGAGAAACAAGTAATCTCCCCTTTAAAGACACTATGTATTGTTTCATATTTTAATTGTAATTTAGAATTCCCAACCTTGATTTCTTGTTCTTTGTAGTGTGTGATATATTCATGTAGTACTGTGTAACAGAAATTAGCTGAAACAATTCCCAGTCATTTGCTGGACAATCATTTTCTATCTGTATTACACTTTAAGGAGGCTTGAATTCACTTTCCAAATATATCTGGCCAACAATATCACTACTACTATAGTAATAACAATGCCAATATTACAACATATCTATATGTAGGAATAGTACAACTGAAAAAAATAAAATCCAAAGATAGTACATTAAAATGAAGCCAGGCATCCAGGTGGTGATGTCACACGCCTTTAATCCCAGCACTTGGGAGGCAGAGGCAGGAGGATCTCTGTGAGTTCAAAGCCAGCCTGGTCTGCAGAGTGAGTTCCAGGACAGGTTCTAAAGCTACACAGAGAAACCTTGTGTCAAAAAACCAGAAAGAAAGAAAGAAAGAAAGAAAGAAAGAAAGAAAGAAAGAAAGAAAGAAAGAAAGAAAGAAAGTCAGGCGTTCATTATACTTGTGTTATGAGTCATTGCCTGTCCTGTTTGAGCCTCTCCCAACTTTAAAGAGATATGAAGTCCAACCACTATGCTGATTCACATTGCCATTAGTAGTATCGGGATGACCGTTTCTTTTTCAACAGGAGATTGTCATCTACAAAATTCATGTTCAAGAACTACCTAAATACTTTAAAAAAATTTTTTCAGGTTGTTTTGGCTTTGTATTTAACTACATATATAGCTATCCTCAACTGTATAGGGCTTGCAGGTCATAGGTTAAGTGCCTCATAGAATCTCCCATTGAGTCCATTCCCAAGTCATATGTTATGGTTACACAGGTACAGAGCTAGTGAACTGCCCTCCCAGTTAGGCAATATAGTATCATTCACTGCCAAATCTAACTTACCCAGTTGTGGTAAGGGCAAAAGCAAACATCAGGAATTCTGACAAAAAAAAAATTAAAGATATATTTAACATCTTCTTAGAAATTGCTCCCTATTTTGGCACCCACAGTTGTATTATTGCTGTGGCCACGGTTTCTGATTGGAAAGAAAAAAAAAGTTTAAGTGTTATAGGAGAAAGGGTACACTTGTAAAAAAAATTAAGTTATGAATATCTGTGTCCAAGTGTCCCTTTCCTGGAAAGTGAAGAAATCCAACTAGTAGGAACCTTCCTTCTTCATCTGCCTGCCTCTATTGAATGTGATGAGACACTCATGAAGGCACATAAGAGCCCTTCATACATTTTTTCCCCTATGTGAAGACAAGTTTGAAGCACCCATTTTATTCTCCAAGGATGAGAATGCTAAAAACTTCTTTGTATCCTCAGGAATTATCAGCATCAATTTTAATTTGACAATTATATGCAGAACTTTTCCTACTCAGAATATTCCCATAGCTTTCTGTGGTTTCTGACTTAGTTGTTGGCAGATAGACAGTTATTGTTGACATTTTATGCCTCAGAGGGCACAAGATGAATATAACTTTACTCAGCCCATCTTGCTTTGCGGCAGTTATCTAGTGTGCACTTACCTCTTGGACTCATGCAGTCAATTTAAGCAGCCAAATGGATGTGAGTCCAGTCAATTTCTAATCCTAGGAGGAAGTTCTTTGGATGGACATTGACATATTTTACTTTAATACACGCCCTTAAGTTCCCAGAATGATTTCAATATGCCCTGTGTATCTATATCCTCAATAGATCAGTTTTACATAACTTTTTTCCTCAACATGTAGCCATATGACATTTAACACTACCCCTGAGTTAGAAAAATAAATATGTAAATATAGCTGAGATACAGCATAGAGGTATAGGTTGTGCTCAAATCAAAGGCCCTAGGAAAATCATGTAGTCCAAACATACAAATTACTTGTTTTCATCTTCTTTGGTCACCAGCAAAGTTGGAGTGTTCCAAAAGATGAGCTTCACTAGTGACAACTTAAGGTAATTCCTAAAACTACATAGTAGTTCACTAGGAGTCACAGAACTCACTGATAGGTGTTATGGTTATTATTTACATAGGAAGGTGATAAGGATTAAAATTAAGAAGGGAAAAGTGCATAGGGCAGAATATAAGAGGTACCTACCAAACAAAAAGCTTTTATTGCCTTCTCTCACTTTGGACCATGTACATGTTACCATCCTCTCCTAGACACGTGACAATATATATGCAGACCATTGCCAATGAAGAGTGCCAACCTGAGCCTTTGATATCCATAGTTTTTCAGGTCATCTAGTAGTCAAAGATCTTAACAAATAAAGACATTTTTATCAGGCATGACATCCTAATGTGTGGTTCTAACCTCCCAGAAGTCAAAGGAAAATATCAAACCTTTCATCAAGATTGCATTCTTTAATATACTGTTTAAACAATAAACATTTGAGCCCTACTAAAAGTGTCAAAGATTAGGCATTCTTCAAATTATGCCATTAATGCTGCTAATTTTTAAAAGATATTTCTTCACCTCTTAGACTTCATTGAGGTGCTGCTTTAACTTAAAAAAAAAAAAAAAAAGACTTTAGTCTATTCCTCGGACATAATTATCTCTGTATTTGGTTATAAGTTCTTACCTCTTGTCTTTTGAGGATGCATTATAGATAATAATGGCATGTGAAGAAAATATTATATTGACTTCTATTTAGAACTTTCTTCAATTTTATTTCTACTTTTACTTATTCCTTAGTGGTTTTGTGATATCTATACTGGTATACTTTATGGTGATAGAATTTCCAATCTGAACAACAACAGAAACCTGATCCATAATGTGGCTTTTTAAGATCCAATTCTTGCGTTAACAAACATTTTGAAAACTTCTGCCTTTTGTATCCTTTCTATATAAGGCATAAATAAATCCAAAGTTGTGCCAAAATTGTACTTTAAAATCATAGTGTACATTCACTCTGGACCATAACCTCTAACATATAGAAAATACCATATGCTGTGATTGTTTCATATTTCACATTAAAAAGGTGTATCAAATATGACTCATTCTTGAAATGGCTGGAAATACAAGTCCAAAACTAGAATCAATTTGACTGCCACTATTTTATGTCTATTAAAAAGCTTAACTTGTATTTGTTTTTTGTCTTTGCGGGCAGGAATGCTTTCAGTTCATACTGCCAGCTCTACCTCATGCCATCGATCTTTTACGTGATGCCATTGTAAAAGTAAAGGAGGTGCATGATGAACTTGAAGATTTACCTTCACCACCACCTCCTCTTTCTCCACCTCCTACAACTAGCCCCCATAAACAGACAGAAGACAAAGGGGTTCAGTGTGAAGAAGAGGAAGAAGAAAAGAAAGACAGTGGTGTAGCTTCAACAGAAGATAGTTCCTCGTCACATATAACTGCAGCAGCTATTGCTGCAAAGGTAAGTCTGCCAAGAGAGACAGAGTTCTGAAGCACCCATGGGGAAATTACTGATTTCATCCCTCTTTGCACTTCATCCTTCATGAGTTTAGAATACTTCTTGATAGCATCTTGAAATTGAACTGGAACATCTATTAAATTCTGTCACTGTGTTCTCTGTCCTGCTACAGATTCTTTGTAAGCAATGAAGTTAGTTTGTAATTAGGTAATGATATGCCAAGGACCTAATGAAGTTATAGCTATAGTGATAAATAATGTGATATTTAAGAACTCTTTAAAGTTGTCATTTTTATTAAATTTATAATGATTATATATTTAGAACATCAAAACTCCACAGGTTTTAAAATAAACAGAAAACAAAAGCTAAAAAGGCCTCAGATGACTCTTGAAATTAGTTGGAAAAGAGTAACTTAAAAAATTTTTGAACATCAATTTTTAAAAGCCTCATTGGCATTACTTACTTTTTAGTTGTTTCCTGTCTGTTACAATGAACATCTTGTTGTCCATGTTTTCTTTGCACCATAGTCTCTCTCACCTCCCTGCTTGGGGGTCCACCAAATGGCTATGACATCATGGTCTACCCATCTGACTATTGCTGGTGCATGGTCATCTTTTTTTTCTTAATATTACAAATGACATCACAACTAATGGCTTTGCATGACCAGCTTTTCCAGCCTTTCCAAGAACTTTCCTACACGTAGTTCTTACCATGGCCTCTGTCTTTTCACGTTGCATCCTTCTGCTAAACTGTGAACCCATTCAGGGCAAGGAGCTTGTGGGGCTGACCTGTATTTCTTGTAGGATGTATATGGTTGTTTGCTGGGTGTGTGTGGAAGGGCAGATAGATATGAGTGGCAGAGTCATTGAGCGGTTGGCAGGCAGATGAGAGGATAGATGAATGGATTAGTGAATGAATGAGTGAGTGAGTGAATGAATGAATGAATGAATGAATGAATGAATGAATGGGTGAATGAATGGATCCTGTATGGCTGAGCTTCCTGGGTGAAAGGTTGGGATGTTCATATGGATGTTGATTGATTTCAGAAGGCCTATATTATTTTATCATGTCCAATGATGTATCAGTATTTAAGATATCTGCCAGCCTTTTCTATGTTAAAAAAAATGATATCTCATGTCTTTTAAAACTTATTCTAATTACTAATGAAGGCTGAATGTTTGTTAACATTTTTTTTTTTTTTGGCATGGGGTAAAGGTATAGGAAACCCTAACTATTCCAGGGACAAGAGGATCACATTACCATACAAAAAAATGTTTATTTACTTATTGCCAAACACAATTTATCTTAATGGTATAGAGAAGAAATTAATATGTTTTCCTTTGAATTTAATAAAGTAATTTAAATGTTAGGATAACATCAAAGTTTACAAATTTTCTTCAGATGGATCTAGAAATAAATATAGTACCATGAGCTATTAGAGTAATGGCCATAGGAAAATCTTTTTTTTTTAATTTTTAAAAATTATTTTTCTTTGATTAAAAGAACAGTATAAGACAATGCATTACCTTGTTTCTATTTTGCTAGCATTTCAGGAAATAAAGTTTTTCAATAGTTCTGAACAATAATCTGGAGTTATAGTGCTGTGGGAACTTTGATAAAGTCAAGGTCTGAAAATATTTAATCAAATCTTTTTCAGCTACATTATTTCTTGACACTGCTTTATAGATATATTAGTAAATGCTACCAATAGCAGTTTCCAAGTCTATAAAGACTTTTCATATGGCTTAGTTCTGAATTCCTTATTGAAAATAAACAGATTAGAATCACATAGAAGTCCTTTTCAGGTCCATTAGCTAATCAGTACATAGTTCCCTCATTAAACACTACCCGATTCTGTCTGTATACCATTCAATAATCCATTAAATCCTAACCATACTATTAAGTACTAAAGTTTTTTTTTTTTATTGGAACAAGTTAATAATGTAGGTTCATTTTAAAATCATTGTACGTCGTTTCATTTTTCCCTTAATTAAAAGGGGAAGCCCTTTTAATTATAAGTAATTGATGTTTCTTTACAACATCAATTTTGGTTGTAAAGGAAAATACAATATATAAGATCAAAGCTGATTCTGTCACTTTGAATTTAGAAAAATTTGTCATTTCATCATTCCATTTGTGTTTACTTTTTTCTTTTAGTCACTTTGCTTATGTTGTAATTTCATGCTCTGCTCTCATTGTATTCATAATTGTTATATGTTATATGTTAGAAGCATCCATTCTACACCAGTCCTGCTGTTTTCATGGCACATGGACAGCCCATCCCTGGTATCATCAGTTATTCCCATCATGGAACAGGCAGTGCAGATAAACGGGTAAGACAATGAGTTTTGAATAATAATTTTGCAAATATATATCATACTTCCTTTATTTGGAAAGGTAGGCTATAACATATAGGAGATGAGTTATTTTATTGTAAAAGATCTTCAAGGTTATTGAACATATCATATCAAGGAATTTAATACTATCTTTTGTACCTAAATTTTGCTGCAATCATTAAAATTCTGTCATTTATAGCAGTGAACTTTCATCACATGACTTTCAGGAAGTTCATTGCTCAAGAAGTCTGGAGTTTTTTGGTTTTTCTTTGTTCGTTTTACATTTTTATTGAATACCTTTAAATTGCCTCACTTAATTAAGATAGTATCTTAGGAGGATTACATTGTGTCTTAATACCTAGAAAGTTTAATCAAACTAATAATTCATAAAGACTTTTTACTTTCATGAGCTTGCATCTCATTTTGTTTTCCTTCAGTGTGTTTTCATTTCAACCACTGAGAGCTCAATCTGCAACTTAAATGATCATTAATCTTTAGAAACAGGCACCTAAGGATACATATTAACTTTTTTACTCATGAAAAGCAAAAAAAAAAAAAGGTAGATTTAAAATTAAAATTCTTAAATATAAATCATTTTATAATAATAATTTACACCATGGATATAAACAAAAATCCATTTCAATCCATTCTGTGCATATGAAATAAAATGAAATAAAAAGAGAAAAAACTAATTCATCAGGTAAATTAGGCTTTATGTACTTAGGAATTACATATATGTATATAATAGTTTTTGGAAGATAACACTATCAAATGTATAATTTAACACTTACATTCCATAATGCATATCTGGTTGAAAATAAAATTGGGTTAGTCAAAAGACAAATAGCAAGTTTAAATTGTGGTTAATATATATATTAGTGAATGGTTTTTTTGTATTCACATCTTACAATGCTGTTATAACCATTTTAGAAAACATTCTGAGCTTTTAAAGTGATTGCAACATTCTGCATTAATAACCAAGATTATAGGCTATTATTATATTATAATAATACCAGATTAAACCCTCAAAAATTATTTGAAGACTGTAGAAATGGATAAGCAGTTAAGAGCATGTGCTGCCCTTCCAGGGTGCCCGAGTTTGATTCCCAATACCAACGTTAGGTAGGTTACAACATCCTTTAACTCCAGCTCCAGGTGGATCCAAGTCTTCTGACCCCTGTGGGCACTTAAACTCATGTGCACATGTCTAGAAACAGATACAAACATACATGAAGTGAAAAAATAATAAAAATAAATCTTTAAAAGATAATAAAATACAATCTCTTAAGAATTATTTGAATAACATCTATCTTCAGTTCTCCCAATGATTTACATATTACTATCATTTCAGGTACATATAAGAGAAGATAATTATCACATACAATAGATGTAAGTTATTGTGACTTAATTTTCTAGAGAAACTACTTTGAAAATAGTTTCAAAATGCTATAAGTGCATGTCATCATGATAGGACCCAGAAACTTATATATTGGCTAGGATTTAATATTCCTTTGTAAGTAGTAGTAGTATTAGTCATTTTGTCATTTTAACAGATACTTATTTTTTTAGCTAGACTTAATTTTTATTCCTTTGCTAAATGATGAGTCATTTATCAAAGTATCTAATGTTCTTCTTTATACTAAGCCTCCATAGGAAAGAGTGGAAAAAGGAAGAAAGAGGTAGCAGTCAATAAAACACCTTTAGTGTTCTTGGTGCTTCTTTATACAAACACCAATAGACTGTTCCAGACCATAAAGAATTTGAAACCTAGGTAGAGTTGCACTACTTTCCTTTCCCAAGTAATGTTGTTCTTATCACCAACCAAAAAGAGAAACTTGATCAATGAAATGTACTGACTTTTCAGCAGTTACTAGTGATCTGATTACTGTTTACTGCCAAAATTTTTTGGCTGCCTGCCCAGCAGGCATTTCCCACTTCCTCTTCGTAATACTGCACCACATACATTCCCATCACATAGTTTGAGTGGCTGGCTTAATATAATCACCATTTTAATTTTATCTGACCACAGTTATTACTTCAGATAACTCATAAATCCAGCCTATCAGAGCTCATGGTTCTCAGCTCTGACTTTATTTGAAGTGTTGGGGCACAAATTCTCTTTAAATATGAATATGAATGCAGCAACATATATCCCGAGAAGTGCCATCTTGGGAATATGAAAACAAGTCCTGCCATAATGAAATGAAATGTAAAGAATAAATTATAAAAAAATTGAAGATAGAGATATCAGGTTCTCACCATATTATTTTTACCACTCCCTTATGTCATCCTTTTAAACCATAGGTACCTCTCAATTTTATTAGATAAGTTAATTTTTCTTAAAACCAGTTGAAGTAAAGGTGAAATACTATTCTCTATAACCAAAAAGAAATTTTTATCAATATACAGTAATGTAAAAATCTCATTAAAATAAGGTTTTTTGGGGGAGAGGGGGTTTTGAGACAGGGTTTCTCTATGTAGCTTTGAAGCCTATCCTGGCACTCGCTTGAACTCACAGAAATCTGTCTCCAGAGTGCTGAAATTAAAGGCATATGCCACCAACGCCCAGCTTAAGATAAAATTTTAAAAATAATAAAAATGAAAATGAAACAAAGATAAAATTATTTTTTTATTGGCTAAAGTATATGTAGTAGGATTCCCTAAAGTTTCACACTTTGGTGAGAACCCTGATTCAAGAGGCTAGAGTGTAAGGAATGTGAAATAGGGGAGAAACAAAAGTAATTAAATCCTGCTCTTCTATGTTCAACCCAGAGATGATAGCTTGTGTTATATACTGAAAAATATCTGATAGGTTTGATAGTCTAATTTATAAGGACAAGTAAGCTATGATTTTACAACAAAAAAGGAAAATTTCCTTGGAGATATATAAGAGGAAATTTCATCTCACTAGTGAAAATTAAATCTTCTAGAGAAGTTCAGAAAAATGATGATGCCTCTAAACTCTCTTAATTTATCTGAGGCTACATGTACACAAAAATAAATATATACATCAGGACAGAAAATAAATACATATGAAGGATATTAAGGAAACATGTTATAGGGGAATAATTTCCATATAATTTAGATAGGGGAGTATAAATTAAAAAGGAAGGGTTTCTGTTGAAAACTAGAATAGAAAGTGAAAAAGAGTTAGGCAATGAGTATGATTTTTTATGTTTCATTTTGTTTTGCTATTAGGGTATGTTACCTGTAGAAGTTCTTAGGTTTAGAGACATTTTCATGAATATGGATGATGTACTTTGAGAATATTTACCCCACCTGCATCTCTTATCACAGTCTCTGCTACCCCCTGTATCTTTCTATACCTTTTACATTTATATCTTGAATTCTACATTTGTAGAAAATATGATGCTTGTTTGATTCATTTTTTTTAGTCTTGAAACAATTTACTTAATACACTAATCTGCTTTTCCATCCATTTTCTTGCAAATGACATGATGGGCTCTATGTCTTAACAAACTTGACACTATATATTGTATATGTATGTATGTAAGTACCTCATTTAATTTATCATTACATCTGCTGATGGGCACCCAGGAAGTGGCTGCTGTGGACACTGCCATGATAAACATGGAAACATGAGTGTTTGTAACAGAGATATTTTCTGATTCTTGTAGGTAGCGAGCCAGAGTTATATAGCTTGATCATATGATAGTTACATTTTTAATTTTTGAGAAACTTACACACTAATTTGGACTAATATATATTCCCATGAGCAGTGTATAAGGGCTTCTTTCATTCTTAATTACATTTGTGGGGTTTGTTTATTTTCTCTCTGATATCATTCTGACTGTAGTGAAATAAAATCTCATTATAGTTTGGCTTGCATTTCTCTGATGACTAAACATATTATGCATATTTTCATGGATTTGTTGGCCATCTGTATTCCCTTTTAGAAAAGTATTCATTTTATCTGTACTTTTTATTTGACCCTTTAATGTTTTATCTTTTTGTTCTATCTAATGTATATTAACCCTTTGCCAGGTAAGTAGCTGGCAAAATTGTTCTTCCATTCTGTAAGCTTTTTCTGGTAATTATCTTCAGTACTATGAAGAAGCTCCTTATTTGTTTCTCTTATTTCCTGAGTTGTCCTATTCCGAAAGTCATTTCCTATGTTTATATCTTGAAATATTTTTTCCTAATAATTTCACAGTTTCAGTTTATACCTTAAGATCCCTAATATATTTTGTTTTGGTTTTTGTGCAAGATGAGACAGAAATCTAGTTTCACCCCATATAGCATCCTGCTTTACTTGTTAAAGAGAATGCTGTTTCTCCAGTGTGTTTTTGCCAGACTTGTGTAGAATCAGGTGGCTTTTCCTCTTGCTTTGGTCAGTGTGTCTGTTTTTGAGAGAATACCAGATTGTTTCATGACTATGGCTCTATAATAATGAGTTAAGTATTTTGATGCTTTTACTATTGCTAGTCTGAGTCTTTTGTTTTCCATCTAAACTTCTGATTATTTTTTTCACTCTCCAGGAAGAATGTTTTAAGAATTTTGGTGGAGATTTCACTTAAGTTTGCTTTTGGTAATATAACCATTTTAAAATTAATTACATTAATCCATAACGTGGGAGGTCTTTAAATTACTTTCCTGAAGTCTTCCATGCCTTGAGTTAGATCGATACCTAATTTGTTCAACTCCTCCTCTTATCTAATGGTTTTGTTGTTTGCAGCTGTTGATCCTACAGACTTCTGCTTTTCTACTTTACAACATTTGTATCTTAGCCAAAACTCTCCTGCTGGGGACTTACATTATTCTTCTAAATTTTTTTTTTTCAGATTATATTTACTTTGTCCTCCCTGCAAACGCTCGCATGCACTCCCACCACTTGCTCCCCTTCAAACTTAAAATCCCTGACCTCTTTTTTTCTTTCTTATTTCATATAATGTTTGAATTTATTAAAGGATAATTGTAGCACAAATAATATAAGTCCAGAGACAGATATTGAGGTTCAAGCTGAAGGTCAGAAAAGCAAGCAGCCAAACCACTAGAGAGTTCTTACCTCTACCAGTGATCAGACTAAAGGGGTGCGATTCTGTCCTCAGAGTGACTGCAGACTGCACTGAGCTCCTGTATCCTCCCACCTTATATTCCTCTCTAGTACTAATTTGAAACAATTGTCTTATGCTTCAGCTATATTTCAGGGCCTACTGTAATGTGGTTACTGGTCTCTGGTCAAATCATGTTTGACCAAATCATGTTAATGTGCATTTTTGCACTAGTGTCTAGGAATCTGGTGTAATGGTGATTGGGGTGTTTCTGATGCTATTATCTGCTTTTGTCTTTATTGTGTGGGTGTTTTGTTCTTTGTTTGCTGTTGTTCTCTCAGGATCTTACACATGTGTTGTCTGTGTGGTCCCTGGTATAAAGTACTTCTGCAAGTTGTTGGATGACATGGAATAGAGATGTGCAGTAGGGTAAAGGATGCATCTGGAGAGACTGCAATAAAAGCACTGGGTAGATCTTGGATCTGTACCAAAAGTTAGAGTCTCTATTGAATGGTGTTGAAGTAGGAGGAAGGGCACATGCAAGCAGGGTAGATGAAGAGATCATAATGGAAGACAGAAAGGAAAGTAAGAATTGCCTACCTGAATCCCAGTCAGGTGTTGCCACCAGATGACCCTGTGAGAGAGTGTTTCTAGGTGTCAACAGCTGACACCAAGGAATAGAGATGGGCTAGAATAGAGGGTTGAGAGAGTTCAAAGAAAAGAGCTAAGCTGGATACCCACTAAGAGGAAGGAGTGCCCAGGGAATGGAGGTGTGGTTAGAGGAGGGGCATATGAAAACAAGCTGGTAGTAGAGGGACCTAATGAAGGGCAGGAAGGATAGTGAAAACTGACTGCCTGACTAACAGCCTGGTGTGGCCTATCAAGATCCCAGGTAGAAAGCATTTCTAGATATTTACAGCCTCAAGTTTCCATTCTTAAACTGGTAATCTATCTCTAATACTCTAGCACAAGATAACTATATTATTCATAGTCTAAAGTAATAAATTTAATAAAACAAATATTTATATTTAAAATTATCTACACTGTTTCTCATTTTGTTTATATTTTTTAGAATAGTGATAAGTCATCAGTCTTCAACATATGAATTCATAGATATAACCTAATATCCAAAACCTTTATTAAACATTTACTATTTCAAACTTCTAAGTAACTAATGTACATTATTTTACTTAACCATCAAAATAGCCCAAGAAGCCAGATGCTATAATTATCCTCATTTTTCAGATGAAGAAAATGTTGCTGGGAATAATATATTCATCATTATCCTAGCAAAACTGAGATAGCACTTTAAATAAGTAGTTGAGGTTTTTAATAAAGGCAAACATATTTATACTGAATGTAGAGAGAAGCAGGAAGGCAATGTGAATTTCTGTGGGATTAATAAGCAAAAGAACCCTTACTGTTATGAGATGAATTTTGATAAAAAGGGAACCTGAGAATTCCAGGAACTCTATTGCCATAAAAAGAAAGATCGACATATCTAAGAGCAGAACTAGGGTCAGTAGTTGAGAGACACAACTAACCTCTGATGAACTGAGATGAAGTGATGGAAATAAATACCAAACCTTATTCTCCTCTAACCCCTGGTCTCATGCCAGGCCCTGGCATCTGGAATAACCCAACTGGAAGTCAAGGAGCACAAAATAGCTAGTTGATGATGTCAAGAAAGGTCAGTTAGAAGCAGAGAAAATGAAATTTAAAAATCTAGAATTCAAACTACTAAATGGCAAAATCAGTTATTGAGTAACATATATTTCTTCCTAACCACAGTGCTGGACTACTTGTCACTAAAGTGTTTCATAATATATTATTTGTCAGAAAAAAACATTGCAAAGCTAAAAATGTCTGAATCAAATATTACATCTGCTTATATATAAGTGACACCAACTGTATGAGAGCTTAACAGCAAAGAATGACAAAAAAAATCAAAAACGAAGATGTGACTGCTAATTTTATGTGCTGTGGCCTTTTCATAATGTTAAACTATAGTCATTGTTGTTTAGATTCCAGATTCCATCATTTCTCGTGGTGTTCAGGTGCTCCCACGAGACACAGCCTCCCTCAGCACTACTCCTTCAGAATCGCCCCGTGCTCAGGCTACATCTCGCCTCTCTACAGCTTCTTGTCCAACACCAAAAGTAAGTGCAGATCCTTGCATCTTATGTTTCTCTATTATGAATTCTGAGAAAACTAACAAATGTTCCCCTGCTTGTCAAGGTTCAAGGTTGGATTGCATGCAAATCGTGGTAAAAAATGAATGGGATATATGATAGCTACCACCCATTGTTTTATAGATTATATTATTAGGATAGTAGACATATGCAGTATGCCTGATCCTACATCACAGGTAAAGATACCACTTTCTATAAGTTATTTTTTTGTGATAGACTGATTATTTTTTAGGAAAATTATCAATGTGGGTATAAAAATATATTATTCTGAAGATGAATGTATTTTTGGCCAATAATCAGCAATATTAACAAAATACTATGACAAATGGGATCTTTTTTTTCTTTCTTTTAACTTCAGGCTTGGATACCTACGTGCTCTAATATCATTCCGAAAAAATTTTCAAACAGACTCAACTTGGAATGTTGCTGCCTCTTATTTGGAAACAAAACTAAATTTGTTAGAAAGAAAGTTTTAATGCCAACCTTTTGAGAGAGGGTGGGAGTTTCTTAGTTTTTATTTTTTATAGTCTGTCCCTGAATTGTGGTGGAAGAAAGTAAGCACTATTTGCTGCCTCATATTTTGTGTGTAAGATAAAGTAATGAGCAAGCTTGAGTACTGTTTGCCTACCGTCTAGAATATCTCCTCTGTGGAAAAATCACTCACTTGTTCTTTCAACTTCCATTTGGGAAGAAACCAATATTGTTATCAAAGATTACTTTCTTACTTAATGAGACATTGTTAGATATCAAGCCATATACTAAATTTGTCCTAAGGATGTGATAATTTTTCAAACTGGCATTTTTCCTCATCATCAGATTTAAAAGCAAGTATACTTTCTCCCTCAAGTACAACTTTTCTATCACTTTTATGAGTTATAATTTTATTTGACTAGAGATTATCTCAAAATTATTGATGTTATAATGTATGTTTTTTTAACATCTTACAGCAGATGATAGAATACTCTGAGGAAAATCTTCATCATGTGTATAGCATTGTATTTAGATAGGTGTCAAAAAATGACAAATAATGTTATTTAAAAATTGAGGTTGTAAATCTTAAAAGAAAAAAACTATGAAAACATTCTAGACATAAAATATATATTAGTGCACTTGAGTACCAGCCACATAATAAACTTCATGTACACATGAAGTTAAACCTGAATTTTATATAAAAAAATCTTATTCATTTTATTATATTAACTAAATAAAATAATGTATGATTTTGACTACATTAAATTCTCAGTGTAGAAGCTAGAATTTTTTGTAAATTCCAGAAAGTATATAAAATTAAAATTTAGGTTGGCTGTAAGATGTTTTGATCTATCACATATTAAGACCTAACAGCTAAATATACAAAACTACTAAAGACACAATATTTTTTCTATTATTATAAATGCATTATACCATAAATATGTTTGAAAAATAGTCTAGGCTAAATATATTTACATGAAATTTTTCTTAAGCCTCAAAACATTTTTCTACAAATAGGATAGCAAATATAATTTTAATAATCACTTATACTTCTAATTTCACCAAAGTAAAATTCAAATTATGTATTTAATTTATGAAATGAATATGCTTATTCAAAGACTTTAATAAAGCAAGTGGCTTCTTTTGATATTATTAGTTGATGTTTACATGTTCAAACTGATCATCAATTCAAATAAAGCACTATCTTTTCAATCTGAGAAAAAGATACTGTTTTATAAAATTTTCCCAGTACTAGAATACATGCCTTAAAGTTTCATTTATTAGCTTGGCCTAGTATCTTTTGCCTGTAATGCCAGCACTCAAGAGATGAGGCAGGAGGATCACAGGAGTTTGAAGCTAATATGGGCTATATATAGTAAGTTCTATAACAACCTGGGATACAACGTGAGAACATGTCTCAAAAACACAGGGGGTAGAGGTGAGCCAGAGGGAAGAGGCAGAAGGAAGGAAATCAGAAAATAAAATTTTGCCTTTGTCTAATTTTTTAAATAAAATTCAAATGTGGGGCTAAAATACTAATATAATAAACTATTTGGGATGTTAATATTGAAAAAGAATAAAGATTCTAATAAGAGCTCCCTAAGACTAATATTTCAATAGGGACATGAAGAATGAGTGAAAGCCAAAAACTAATTTTTTTCTTGCATAGGCATTCTAAAAGTCATGTTCATCAATAATGACCAATTTAACAGCATTTGTCACCATCCACAACTCTCTGTAAATGTTTTCATTATTACATGAGTTTCCTTAATTTGGTATTCAGCATCTGTTTTCAAACATGCTGATTCTTAAGCATGGGTTCCCAATATTTATCCTCTTTTACCCTGAGTTAAGTTTCAAGATCATAGATAGATTTTAGCACTTAACTCTGTTTTAAATGAAGTATTTCTTTTAATTCTGCATCATAATAATCTAATACAGAAAGGAAGGTGAAAAAAGATTGATTCTCAAGTTTTTAATTTAAGGTATAGGGTGCATGGTAGTATTAACTGTATTAGGACATAAAAGAAAAATAACTAATTTTCAAGGTTTTTAAGGAAAGATATTACATTTTGATTTGATGTGTTCAATAAGAGGTATTTGTGAAGTATGCAAGGAGTGCTATTCTGTGTAGAACTGAAAGTACATTTTAAATTTGCCATTCCTGTGTTTTATAATTTTGTTATATACTGCCTTTTATAATTTTGTGTGTATTAGTCAACTCTAGAAATCACCTTTCTATGTTTCAGACTAAGCATGAAATGTGTCATATAAAAAATGTGTGTGCAAATGAATTTTCTTTGTATCAGAAATACCATATAATCTTGAATGATCTTTAGAAAGAGCATTTGACTCTGGTAAGAGATACGGATTCCAATACGTACTTGTCTCTTTAACAGTCTCACTAACATTAAGCAAGATGCTTAATATTTGTGAGTTTTATGTCTATTTGATACTGGCTTTGCCTAGTTGTAAGAAAGGAATGAGCCAGTAGGCAGTATTTACTGCCTTTGAAAACAAAAGCGGCTACTACAAATTATAATAAAGTGCAATTAAATGTTATGATTCCTTAACAGGAGTATAAAATAATTGGAGGAGAAGTATCTTCAGATTCATTCAAGTGATTGTTTATGGAAACTAAATGAAAGATTTGGGATATACCTCAGAGGTAAATTTGCCTAAGATGTTCAAGACTTTCAGGTCCACCCCCAGCACCAGATTTAAAAAAAAAAAAAAGGCCGTAGTACACATATCTGTAATCCATACTAAGGGGGTATGACAGGAGGATTTTGAGTTCAAGACCAACCTAGGCTACATAGCAATACCATCTCAAAATATTAAATAAAAATAAAAATGGCAATGAACAACAGAAACCTAATGATTTTATTCTGTGGGGTTTTGGGTTGTTTCTCTAAATTTTAATACTGAATAATATTTAAGATGAAATTCTTTCTGTCCAGTTATAGGAACACTCATTTCCCTAAGTAATGGCAGTATCAAAGTTTAACATTGTGTGTGTGTGTGTGTGTATGTGTGTGTGTGTTGCATATTAATTATATCTTTGTCTGAGTTTTGATCCTTTAGGGTTCTTCCATCTATAAGAACAAATTTATTAGGTAAAATATACTGTTTTGTTTTTGTTATAGTTGTTCACTCTTCACAATCTAATGATGACAGTCAAATATTAAAATATAACAATTGTTCATTGAATGTAATACCCTCTAGCAGATATTTATTGAGTGGAAAATTTAAATATTTTTTCGAGACAGGGTTTTTCTGTGTAGCCTTGTTGACCAGGCTAGCCTTGAACTCACAGAGATCTGTGAGTTTGCCTGCCTTTGCCTCTCGAGTACTGGGATTAAAGGCGTGTGCCACCACCGCCCAGCTTAATATTTTATTTTCATCAGGAAAATATTTTCTTTTGTATCATATATTTTCTTACAATGAATTCTTACTGGAATGAATGCCACTCCTTTTATTTTGTGTTAATGCAGAAATTTTAATAACAATTTGGAGTTTTTGTCTTTTATTGCCCATAAATAAATTAGTACATAAGTCAAAGAAATGAAATGGTAAATTGATTCTAAAGAAATATGTCCAATGTACAGAGCAGTCAAGTTCTACCATGATGATGGTCTTCCAAAAAGGGTTTAATAAAAGAATAAGTCTGTAGCAGAGAACTTTTCTTCTTAAATGAACATGATTTATAACTAAGCTAATTGTTTATTTTTAGTTATGACAAACAGCAAAGTCTGTAGAAACCAAAAGAAGAAGAAAAAAAATGGATGAAGTAGAAAATAATGACAAAACTAAAAGTTGGGGAAAATCAAAAAATGCAATGTGTTCACAAGAGAGTATTTTAAGGACTGATTTTGTTATCTTTTGTTTTTCCAAGCATCTGAATTTTAACATTTTTACAAGGTAATGTAGATGGTAGGTCACCTATTCCCTGTGCCATAAAAATTAAAAGATAATTTTATGACTCATAGGAAGAAAAAATTTATACATAAATTTATCAGTTAATTGTTTTATTATGCTTAGAAGTAAAATGTAAATCCTTAATATCTAACTGAATAATTTATGCAGTTGTTTAAAAGAATATTATTGAAATCTTTTTGCAAAAGCCCTTATTTTAATATATTAGTACCTAAACTTACATTCAAACAAAATGCAGAATTAGGACTTCTTTTAGGTTTCTGTGTAGACTTAGTATCAGTCCTACCTTCCTGGTGGCTACATGGCATCTCCCTCTTGTCTTCTTCCTGCCTTTCCTCTTCCCAGAACTCTCCTAGTCTGGTAGCCCTGCTTATATATCCTGCCTGGCTTGCCAATCAGCATTTATTCATCAACCAATAAGAGAAATACATTCACAGCATACAGAAAGATATCCCCCGTCATCTCTTTTTTGTCTAAATAAAAGGGAGGTTTTAAATTTAACATAGTAAAATTATATATATACAAAACAGTTATCAAGCAAAAACTATAGTTAACAATAT